CCCTCAAATCTTTATTTCAATGAAAACCCATGAAATAATCATTCTAATTGAAAACCATCTTCATTTCTTCATATTTTTTTAATCTGGACGACTTCAGGATTGAAAGAGAAAAAAGCAGTAATTTCTCATTTCTTTAATCAAGAATGTTGTAGTGTAATACTACCTTTAACTATAGATAGATAAATGGACTTCTAATATCAAGCGGCTGTCTCTCCATTAATTGCTAAGTTTCTTAAAATTTGTACAAGACAAACTGTATTTTTTATTTTTTATTCTGTGTACTATTTTATCAACTTTTTTTCTTTTTTAATTTTGAATTACTTAATAAGAAATAATCCTCTCATATCCCTTTACCCATTCCACCACATATCTACGAGTTGAACCTAAAATCTTTTACTCTTTATTTAAGAGAAAAGATTACCACTAAATTGCTTGACATCGTTGCACTATTCTATCAACAATTCTATATGCTTTCAAACCATCATCTGACATCTATCTTTTCCGCATAAGATATCAGAAGGAAAAATAGAGGAAAGGTTGCTGAAAGATGATAGAACTTCTGGGCACTCAAGTGGATATTACAGACTTAAAGTTCCGGCAGTCATACGAACAAGTTGTAAGGGAGGGTGACCGGAGGGCATCGATGTTGGAACGTATTGGTATATGCCAGAAAAATGCACCGGGACAAGCCAAAGCTAAAAATGGAACAAAGATCCATGCGTTCATGCCCTAGCCCAACATAACACACCACAGCAGAAATCACAGCCAAGCTTAAGGCTTCATTTCGCAATGCAATACACAAATCTTTTTCACGCAACCCCTTATATAACACTAAATTTATTATTCTTAATTAATTTTAATTAATTTTTTTATATACTTTGAGATATTAAAAAATTAAAAAAACCTATAGTTATGGTCACGACACAACAAAACACAGCACTTACAATCAAAGCATAAAATATGATAACCTCCCTTCTCCGAATCCCCTCCCCATCAGTCTCAATTAAAATCTATCCAAGAACTTTGATATGAAGTTTAAAAGCTCCTCATCACTGGAAGACCCCCAAAGAGTAAAGATCATTGTGCCCTTAACAAATGAAAGGATCAAAGGCTTGAAGGCCTTCACGAAACTGATCGTTTGTTCTCATTTCTGTACTGGAAAGTACAATTACGTAAAGTAACAAACTCATTAAGAACCACACCTCATGAAAACTTTCTTCTCTCTACTCAATTAGAGGGGAAAGAAAGGGCAAGGTGATCTACAACCATTCTAAGAATTATGTGAAAGCAGACTGATTAATAATCAAATTTACTAGTGCATCGCTATGATGGGTTAGAATGTTGGTTGTGTTATAATTATCTATCTCACCATGGTCGCCCTAGCCCTCCAAGCCGTCGTGCCAACTGAATATCCTTTTGCACTGAGCCAGATAAAGAAATAAATTTAGTTTTTCCATTGAGAATTGATAAAATCACGCCATTAAATTGACAATATACAAGCATACAAGACAGAAATGCCATCATCTCCCAAAAAAAAAAAAAATTAACATTTATGGAAAGCACTAGAGTAGAGGGCTTCCCCATTGTGAATGATCAACGAGTTTCTCTAAAATGCTGCAGTTATTAAGATCTTGAGGGAATATAAGACATAAGAATAAAAGCAGCAACAAGACATACTTTCCATCCATGATGAATGTTTTGTTAATGACACAAACCACATTTAAATGTCTTCATCTTAACATGAAGGCATCTTGGATCCCAAAAGTTTAGTCCAGTCAACAAATGAGAAAAGCAAAATATGCTAGCAAAATTTTGAACAAGGTAGAAGTTGCTGGGCAGACTCAACTAAATATCAAGGACAATGCTAATTCTAGACAAAAAGCACAACCCAAAGAAAACATTTTGTGCATGACTCTAAAGTCTTAAATGAAAGATATGACAGCATAGACCACTAAATAAGAAAACAAAACTTTTTTCCTCTTATCACAAAATAAGAGGGACATAATGCATAGACTGAGGCAAACATTTAGATTTATTCCATTTACTTGCCAATCGCACATATGATCTTTTCTCAATGTATAAGAACAATTCAAAAGATCAAATAAGCATGATCCCACTTTACAGATTAAAAGTCCAGAAAACTTCTAGGGTAAAACTTAGACAAGTTGCCATCGATACTTAGTTGCATGAAATCCAAACTACAGGCAAGCCCTAAAACAAGAAGTAACACAGATTTTGCATGAAAAAACAACAGCAAACACTTGCAGACATTTATCACAGAAAAGTGAGAATGCACATACTAAAAAACTGCAAGAATAAACTCAGAATTTGCTGAAGCAAAAGAAGTTCCATGGCTACAGAAGTTGGTCTTCAGGATTTGGAAGGGGGAGGGAGTGATAGTATGGTAGTTGAAGGCATAACAATCAATTCAAATTTTTCAGGTCTAAACTCACTCAGTGTAACACGCTTTGCATGAATTGCGCATAGCATTGCATCTCCAAACAACTGAACCAAAAAATCCTCTGCTGCCTACAAAGATGATCAAAATTATTAAAGAGAAATAGAAATGTACAACAAAATATAGTATGAAAAAAGGGATGCACCATACTTATTTACCCAACACTAGGTATAAGTTGACTGCTGGGCAATTCTAAATGCATTAAATAAGCCTATTTTTCCCATATGGTTAATAATAAGATAAGTTAACAAACCTCCTGTATTATTACTAATGCTTCAGCTGACCAGCGATTAATATCTGGTGGAGCCAAGTTCTGGCTAATAGCTTTTACCTATAATAAATGAAAAGGATTATTAGTACCCACTACCTTCTGATTAATCCCCGGTAATCCAGACTGATCATTTGAACTTTTGCAGATGTATGAATCAGATGATTCATACCAAGATGTTAGAAAAGAAGAAAGAACAACAAAGTAGAAGTTATGAGGTATTATGCAATAAATTCATTTCTAAAATGACAAAGTAGAGCAAATCCATTTTGAATCCTTCAAACAATGAAATAAACATAAAACTTTATACAATTTCAGAAGAAAAACTAGAAACATGGGCATCACTACTTCATTACTCGTTAGTTAAATGAAAAATGAAGCCCAAGAATCAAGATGTGATGATTCCTAAAATCTCGTGCAAGTCTCTCACAGGCTAAAGTGTTAAAGGAGAGAAAGAAAATGCTAAGATTTCAAGCATGAAGCAACATACTGTTCAGAACCTTCATGCTAAAAGATCAAGGAAGATTCAATTTTGTTGTCTGCAAAAGCCAATCATAACTCAAGCAATTAGAATTAGTAAACAACATTTTGACCTTCATTTGCCATCTTAGCATTCACTTTGATTGAATAAAATGTATACCCACATGTAAATGAATATGAACCACACAGCAAGGGCCAGAACAGAGGATAGGAAACGGCTAGCTTACTTGTCTGATGAAGCTGGCTGCAGGGATCAGATGCTTCCAGGTTTTCTGGTAGTGTCTTATCTCCCTAAGAGCCACCGTTCCTGGTTTGAAGCGATGTGGTTTTCTTTTTTGCTGAGCAGCTTAAGACCCAAGAAGAAAAGCATTGATAGTTAATACACTAATGTTAATGTTTACACATTATAAGAAGGTTAGGTTTCACGACAACTCACTTGATGGGGTACCTCCTGCAGTTCTGCTTGCACTTACAGCAGACGCCTATCAGATATTAGTTTTGAAAATTATATATTACAGTAACTCCTAGAAAAAGATAACAATATTTGGGAAGAGATAGAGAAGCCTTAAAAATGAATTTACCACCAGTTTAGGACCTAAGTGGTTTAACTACTTGAATCATATATAGATAGTAGATCACAAATCACAGCTTCTGTGACATGCCAATCAAATTTTCACATTTTTTTTTTCTAAATTCTATTAATTTGATTTTTTTCAGCAACAGATGAAGAATCACATGATAAAAATTATACAACAAAAATCAAAACAAAATAACTACCACAACAAAGGGAAATTGAAAGAGAAAACAGAAAACTTCTGACAGCTAAGAAAACATGGTGTAAAATGAAAATAAATCCGAAATTCAAATTGCTTAAGAAAACTGAAAATCCTTGACTCAAGGAAAACCAAATCAGAGGTAACAAACTAACAACACAATAGAAGCGAAAACCTAAAACCGAAACCAAGTGTAGAATTCACCAAATAAACAGAAAGTCTCTCCACTCAAAGAAATCAAAATCACCGGTGACCCCGAGCAAGAACTCAAGCTAGAGAGAAAAGCGTACCAATCTCCAACCAGGTGAGGCTGATGCCGGCGAGGATGGTCCAGCGGCTGCGACTTCACATTGACAACGTTAGAGCTACTGAAAAAGGGAAAGAGAAACCCTAGAACAACGTACATTGAATCGTAGATGAGTAGAAGATCATACCAGATGGACGTCGCTTTGATTTCTTCTGAGCAACTTGCTTAGTCCTCGCCATGGATTTGCAGAGTGTGAAGGCTCTGAAAAGGGGGCTACTGTGCCCTGGAGAGAAGCTTTTTCGTGAGGTAAGAACAAATTTCAAATTCTTTTTCGCGCTGTCATTTGGCGTCCGTCTCCTGACAGCACGTTCACGGCTAGGGTTCTGCTACAATAATTTAACTACTTAGCTTTCGCCGTTCTGATTTTTGGCCTTGGCCATGGATCCCTCGTCTTCTCAAAAATGGTTAAAGTATAATGGTTTTTTAAATGTTTTATACAACATGACTAACATTTCATAATGTCATATTTTTTTAATGAGATTGTTGTATTGTCGTTAATTCAGCACAAACTGCACTTTTTATGGTTCATAAAAGAGGATTACTCTAATATTGAGAGGCCTACCTATTTACATTGTTCTTTAATTTAAAGGTTAAGTGTGAATTTGTATGCTAACTAATGTTTAATTAATGGATAGTATTTTCTGATATGTTGAAAATTAGTTGCAAGGCAATTTAGAAACCTGAACCTTTAATTTTAAGTTCAAATTAAGATTTTTTAAATTAGTGATTAGCAAACTAAACTTTTTGGTAGTTTCTAAAGTCTATAGTAAATGAGAAATAAGTATTTTATGGTTTTGTTTCTTAAGGGGTGTCCCATCAATTAAGCTTTTTTAGATTAGATGTCTCAAGTTTCAATTTTGAGATGGGTGAAGAGGAATTCAAGACTAGCTCCTATCCCCTATTATATGGCACACATTTAACATTAAAAACAGAAAAAAAAAAGTATTTAACGGTTTCATCATTTTTTTTCTAGTAAGTTGAAGGAAGTAATAGTTGAAACTTATTAGCTATTCCCTCTCTTTCTAATTCAGTAAAAAAATAATATTATTCTCTCCAAAATCTCTCTTTTCAATTGCATGGCAGTTGGAACTGAAAAGGTGTACCACTCATTTTACTGAATCTAAGAAAGAAATATTCCTATTGACCCTCACTACTTCCAAATGGGGGATTGGGCTATGAACTGATGGAAGAGTGCCAATTAAATAAATGATGAGATGAGTTGTACTTAGATGATATCATAAAAACAAGGATGCATTCCTACATTAAGGTTCATAAACAGTTATCTTGGAAGAATAATAGAATAGATGGGATTGCAAAGGTGGGCCACTCACTTTATTCAAAGTGAGAAAGGAAGATTCTTGGTGACCTTCACTACTTCCAAGCATGGGATTGGACTCTGAATCAATGGAAGAGTGTCAATTAAATAAATGGTGAGATACACCATGATTGAATAATTGTAGTAGAAACAGGGATACATTCCTACATTAAGGTCTATAAACAATTGTCCTGGGAGAACACTAGGTACTTCCCACAACCAGGGCCAAAACATTGGTTTGTTGATCAAAGTAAAAGAGAACAATAAAGAAAAAGAGAGTGCATGGCAAAAACTAAGAAATTAAATTGTTGGAAGTGTAAACAATGTGCTTATAGCATGAAATGAAAGTTAACAAATGTTGAAGAAATGTGAATCTAAAGAAGACTTTATTGAATTGAATTATAGGAAATCAAGGATATCAATAAAGATGTTCGAAACTAACTAACAAATACTAGAGTTAGAGTTTGTGGTAGTGTAGAGCTAAGGACTACTTGAGAAAGTGTAACCTAAGAAATTGACTACAAAAGCTTTGTGAAACTAAAAAGAAGAATATAGTGTTGGGCTAACTTGAAAGGGCACACCTCTATGTAGGCTATAAGGAAATGTAAAGTTAAGACTAAACTATGGAAGTTTAAAGACTAAAATGTGCTTAAGCATTTAAAGATAACATAGTGCTAGGCTTTTGTGAAAAGGATAGGCCTACTTTACTTTACTTCCTTCATGTATTTATAGGGCAAAATGTCATTGATAGCATGTTGGAGATCTTCATCAACATCCATGAAATTTGCAACAAACAAACTAATCAATTGCTGCTTTGAGTTGTAATGACCATCTAGCTTGATTTAGAGGAAAATCAATAATTTCCAACTAAACTTGGTTGATAAGATCGCCACATGGCAGCTATTGGCAACACAATATATGCATGTTTTAACTCCTTCAAAACTTAGTCTGTCACAATCTCTTGATTTACTCTCGATTATCTTAAAATTCTACATTCAAATCATTAATTAAATGATTTAGTTTATTAAAAAATTACTTTAATAAAGTGTCTTAACTAATAATTTGTTTAGGTTATGTAGAATTTCATATTTTAGGGCTTAGAGTTTTAGGGGCCATCTAGATTAACTATTCAAATTTAGCAAATGATTAATCTATAGATGATAACCGATAGCTTATAACTAATCATTATTAGCTCTTGCTATTTAGTAGTTAGTGTTTGGCAATAAAACTGTTAACCGTTACTAGTAGAATGCTAAATTACTATTTGAGATCTATTTCATGTTAGTTAAATTATTTATCCATTGTGGTTTGAAGTTTTTTATTTTTTTTAATTCAAACAATCAAAATAAATAATTAAAAATCAAAATTAAAAATTAAAATTATTAACTTTTGAGTATGAAATTTTAAAACAAATATCAAAAACTCAAAACTTAATTAATTTATAGAATTGCTTACTTTTATTTTATGGTTTATTAATTTTTGAAAACTAAAATCAAAAACTCAAAATGATAATCATATTAAACAAAACTTAAGATTTATCCTTTTTTAATAAAGATAGTAATAATATCACCTGTTCTTATTCAAAAAAAAATAAAATACTTATTATCAAGCTAAGTAGTTCATCTTAATAAATAGAATAATGATTTGTGCATCCGTCGGTTTGACACTCGACGGGTGCACACTCCATAAAATAACATTTTCTTATAACATGAAGCTTGTGGCCATCCACGGACTTTAGCCTAGTTATGCATCCAAACAGATACCAACCCTAAACCTCAACCGCTTTGATTCTCCATCATCCTTCTAATGTCATACTTTGATTGCTATAAGATAAAGGATCGAGTGGAAGAAAGGGTGCAGTAGGCCCATGGAGATTCATCATCCGATTGCGATTTCCAATAGATAAAAGATGATTGATTGCTAGGCTTCTCAAGTGAGGAGTGTCTGTGCTATTACTCATAGTGTTAATCTAGAATTTAAGTTATTGGTGTTAAAATTTTTTTAATTTTGATATAAAAAAATATGGAGTTTATGATTTTTGTTTTTGAATTAGATAGTAATTCGTTACTGATGTTTACTGAATGTTAATAAAGTTTAGGGTTTTAGCAAGCATTGTGACCCCATTGTTGAATCCTTGATGTTTTAACTCCTATAATATTGGTGTAAGGTATTAATTGTAAGTCTAAATGACTCTATTTTTAAAAAATCATGTAATAATAAATAGCACATGTAGTCTACTTAGTGGACTCAGTTCCATAACAATTTAATTTTTCCTACATTTGTTAATGATAGAACACAATAAGGCAACGGGAGAGGTTAGCATATATCAAGAGTCCAATAATTGTAAAAAAGATCACGATTTAATGCAAAGTACTTTTGATATCTTTTTGGGCATTTAGTCCTTCTATAAACCTCTAAGAAAGTTTGAACGCTGATTATTATTACCATTAATTTGGTTAAGGTTACTATAATTGTAATTAATTTAGAAAACAGTTATTCCAATTTTCACTGTGATAATTGCTTTTAATTTCAAAACTAATAAATGGTAGCTTTCAGTAACTATTGCTTATTACTTTATTGATAGAATTATAAACCATTATTATTAATGAGATTAAACACAATTGATAGGTATTATGTAACAAAATTGAGAAACTTTGGTAACCATAACAATTATGACCATCAATTGTTTATAAGTATGATAATAACCAATTTATACCTCGTTATGGAATGAAATTGAAATGTGGATTTACAAAGAAAACCTCTTTCCAAATTATTTGGACACCAAAGGGCTAAGAAAAAAGGATGAAACAAATACCAAAAGTCTGAAAAAGGGAAAGACAAAAACAAGAAGATTATGACTTGAAATGGTAACAACACATGCATGAACAACTATGCAATATTTCAAACAAATGTAAACACTATAGTAAAATTTTTAAGTGGGAATTGAATGAGGGTTAAAAGGTCCCAAACGTTCCTCTATATGAAATTTAAGGGTGAAGTCAATGTGGTTTACACCTAAAATGGAGGGAGTATTGGGATTAATATGATTTTCAATACTTGAGGAAGGACACAT